TATAATGGCACCGTCGCGGGCGAACCAGACCGCGTGATCGTCTACCAGGATGGTGAGAAGATAAATTCAGAAGTAAGGTAGTTTGAAGAGAAAAGTCTCGAAACCGTAAGTAATGGCTGGTATGTTGCGGCCAGCGCGATACATCGCCGATTACCGGCCGGTCTAAATGGTCCAAGTGTCGTAGAAGTTACCTTCAGGATGACCTTTGTTATAAGCTAGTTCCACTGTCTATTCACGTTTAGGTTTATTGGCTATATAACAAGGAAAACTCTCGCTTGAATTTGAGCGTGTTTGTACAGCGAGAACGTCAAGGTAAGTTAGGGAGTAGTAATACTGTACACACAGATGTTCGACGCGCGACCATTTTAGATCCACTAAACTAGGGTAAGCTTTTTTGTCTTAGTGTTTTCTGCTTTTCTGCTCTAACAGGCGGGAGGACAAGTCCTTTTTTTAACGAAGTACATGTTATACCATTATTATGGAGGGTGAGCAGGATTAACCATGGTTTGATACACGAGATTCTGAGTAGCGCTGTCGGTGGTTGCGATAGTTGCCGTCACCACACGTTAACATTCGAAGATACGATCCTTACGATTAAATGTATTGCTCTTTTCATGAAAGCATATTTTCATCCGTGTGACATTTTAGTCTCTGAATGCGTCACTTTATTGGCTTGCATTTTGAGTCACTGTGAATTGTTTTTAGTAGGCGGCTTCTCCCTCTGCAATCTAATGCACAGTGAACTGCCCATATGTTTCCTGTTTTCGTAATTTGAATTAAGTTTTACTGTACCCTGTTAGAGAATGGATAACTAACGCAAAAAATATTTTAAGGTTAAAATTTGACCCTCCTTCGCGTAGAATAGTTCTGGACTGGTATGAATTCAGAGCTATTGAAATCGAAGTGCTTACCTTTCTGCCAGAACGGTCCGTTGAGTTTCTGCAGTTCGCCATTGAAAACGGTTTTGAGGTTTGATTATCACTTGGTGTATGGCTCTATGATGTTAGTGCAATTTCAGGAGCTGCGAGAGCTTCAACGTGAATTTCAATTCCTCTGCTGCGTGAACTACCTGCCTGATATCCCGACGAATTATTCATACAAGCGGTTAATATCTTCACCGTTTCTTGAAACGGCAATCAGTTTAATGGCGGATGTAATTTGTTTTGTTTTTTTGTCTAATGTATATACTTTTCATCAACAGGGTAACAGTGAAAATGTAGTTAATTTAGGATTATCAGAGGAGGTTTAGTAACGAGATTCATATTTGATTTTTTAGTACCTTTGGCTCTTGACAACGTCGATGTCCAACCTACTCTTTGTTGACGCTTCTCTGCAAAGTGCGAATAATCACCCTCTCAAATTCGGTCAATCGCTGTTAGGTCTTCAGACACTTATAGCAGTTTCTTGTCTTTGTTGATAGCATCGATGCACTCTTTTCATCTTTGCATGTTTCTCTTTCCCGATATAACATTTTTGCACCACACTTCTTACGTATCTTTTAGTTTTTGTTTCATCTGGCTGCAGCAAAGGAATCTACTCAGAGTCAACGTTTCTGTTAAAGAAATTACTGTTGTAGAGTTTGTTCTAAATTTGCTTCATATGTGGCCCTGTATATTGACACATGATTATTCGTATTTCTAATGTGTTCTGCTGTTATTTCTACCCATAATGTTGCCCAGCTAAACTCATTACATCATTATCGATGTTAGAACTGCTTTGTCCACTTCCTCTCGCTTGACGCATTTTTTTCTCAGCAACAACCATTCACCTTTTCTCCCCATTTGAGCCCTGCCTTAACCGATTAATTTTTACTTGAATGATGAATTCTTCATACTCTAACGTTTAGAATTTAAGCAGGCGATTGGTCACAGATTTTCGCCAGCTCGTTGGCTCTGTCAAGATTCTTAAGGTCCGGCTGCCATAACACTTCAGATCCATCATGAATGATCATGCTAAATGCTTACGAAATATGAGCCATGACACTAATAATCATCACTAACGCAGCAAACGCTCCTATCATTCATTGAAGTGAAGGCGATGTTAAGGGTCTGATTGGCAAATTATTTTAGATATCTGCTTTTAATTAGCATAGATTTTATCGAATCAGGCTGCACGTTTTGTTGTCTCAAATAAGCTTCTGGGGTACGAAAGTTATAGGCAGATACAAGCGACCGATGTTTTAGGTCTTTATTTTGATGCCATAGTGTTGTTCAGTTTTGACCTCATCAGGATTGAAAGTGAGCGCAATTAACTCGACAAAACAAACAACTGCACG